TTTAAAAAACCAGGAAGTTTTTTCATCCATTCAGTTATTGATATGCAATCATTGTCTTACAATCTGTTATTGAAGAGATTCACAAACTTGTAAAATGGCAGCATCTAATGTCCACACATTCATTGTCCGTGCATGAGCATTTACGTTCATGCGTTCTATATCCTCTTCCACCACCCTCAGCAACTCAGGTATTTAATTTCTATAGATCTGGGGGTAGGGCTGAAGAATGGCAAGTCTGGAAACAACTCACGCCAACAACATTTTAATAATGTGTTTGTTTGCTTATAGCCCAAAAGGCTTATAGCCCAAAGGGCAGCTGACGAGATCAGTAGTGAGACAGTCTCTGCCTTCAGGTTCACCTGAAGCACATGACACACAAAGAAAGGGGGATGGGGTGGGAGAAGGAAAAAAGCAAGCTCAGGCACCAATTTTTAAAGTTAGTCTTCTGGCAACTACTGACTGGGATGGAACAGTTCCGATAGCCAGATGGAATCTGCCACTAACTAACAGTTGAGCGGAGAGCAAAGGCAGCTGTTCTCTCAGGAATTGCTCTGCTTCTTTCCTCTCCCTCTTCTTTGCAGCCTGATGGAATGGTTGCTAGTGCGTTTAGGTGACAACAACCTTCACCTGCCTTTTGGCTTGCCCCCCAAAATAGAAATAGGATTTATCAGAGACAGAGGCCAGAAAAGAGGGATTGCCCCTGATAAATAGGGACAGTTGCCCCATGTGGACCCACCAGGAATGTTTTCTGCATATCCCCCAGCCCACTTTTAGCAGACAACCAGCCTTCTTCCTGCCTTCATGGGCAAAGGAGATGTTCCCAGAGGATAAGGACATCAGAAGAGCCTGGCTGTAGGATCAGACCAGAGGTCCACCTTGTCTAGCATCCTCTTCTCACAGTAGCCAGCCAGATGCTGACGGAAAGTCCCAAAGCAGAACATGAGCTCTAGAAGGCTCTCTCCACAGATGGCCTGCTTAGGGTGCCTGTGTGTCCTATTGAGGAGGAGAATCCTCAGTTTGAAGGCCAGCCTGTCCAAATTCAGTTTAAAGAGCCCTAAGAAGGGACAGCAGTTGAAGTCACCCACCTACAATTTGTACCTGGACAGCAGACTGAGCAGCCACACATATCTCATGAGGACACCACTACGGTCTTCTCGTGTGTGCAGGCTCCTGGGGGTGCATGCCAGTTCAGGGGTAGGGGCCAGAGACAAACATGGGTGGAGCAATGGATAGGACGGTGTCCTTTGAACAGTAGGTTCAATACATTTTGGCACCTGAGGTGAACCATAAAATGTGCTCTTCCTGGCCAGGAAAGAAGGGGTGAGTGAAGATCTGCATCTGGGAGGAGACCAGCAGCACCTCCTATTCGCCAAGAGGCTGGGGTGGGGGGTGCTGCTGAGGAGACAACAAACCCAGCCTCCCAGGAGTGTGCCACAGTTGTCACTGTGTTGGGGGGGGCACAGCAACAACAATAGGCAATGCATTCTTTGGAGGCTGGATCTGCCGCCCTGTGGATCTTGCTGCCTGAGGTGGTCACCTCACTTTGCCTCATGGGTGGGCTGGTCCTGAGTAGGCTACATCCTTGCCATACAAAAGTCAACAGTTTTTACACTCACCCCCACCCCCTCTCCATTCTGTATCCACGCTTGCAAGAAGCCCTTATCACACTTCAAGGATACATTCCAGCCAGACAAGAGCTGGGTCAGTGAGAGTCATGTTATGGGGAGAGTTTTGAAGGCCAGAGACAGAGAGAGAGAGAGAGAGAGAGAGAGACACACAGAGAGAGAGAGAGAGAGAGAGAGAGAGAGAGAGACTCAGAGAACAGCATTTGGTCCCTGGGACGGATGTTGCTCACCCCTGACTGAAATTATAGTAATTTCTTCATTTCTACCTATACATATGAATTAGATTCTGTTAAGTAGCCACCCAATTCCTGTTATTCTGCATGGCTGTAATTTTCCAGTGCCAAAGCTCATGTTTTAAAATACAGTGGTACCTCGGGTTACAGACGCTTCAGGTTACAGACGCTGCTAACCCAGAAATAGTACCTCGGGTTAAGAACTTTGCTTCAGGGTGAGAACAGAAATCGCGCGGCGGCACAGTGGCAGCAGGAGGCCCCATTAGCTAAAGTGGTACCTCAGGTTAAGAACAGTTTCAGGTTAAGAACGGACCTCCGGAATGAATTAAGTTCTTAACCCGAGGTACCACTGTACAGGGAATCCTTCCTAGTGTAAGGCTATTACCACCCTGTTCTTCATTCACCAGGCCTTCCATTCTCATGTGATCAGGCCTCTTCTCCTTCTGCCTCCTCTCCCTGCAATCTCACTCCCAGGGTCACAGCATGCAATGCTGCAGCCTCTGTATTTATAGCACTGGCTCTCCCTGCTGGAATAGAAGATACCAGATGGGGCCTCCCTTTAGCACATGCTCTGCGCCTAATGGAAGCAGCCACCCCCTGGGCTGCGGTGAGGTTGGTTCTGTCCGTGATGCTTGTTGCCGGCTTTTTTTAAAATTTACTTTCTGTGTGCTGTTAGATGCCCAATAAACTCAGATTATCTGGGCATCATACAATGAATGCAACACAGGATAAAATGAAAGGGCAAAAATACAATCGAATAGGGACCCAAGAACAAATTAAAACGGCGCTGAAAATTAATGGCAAGTGGTAATTCTACCATCTGAAACATTTCCAGAGACTGTCCTGAAATCTTTGAGGAATGTGCTTCTGATGTGCTTTAAAGGTCTAGTGTGTACACAGCCTATAGGTATGTGTCCACACAAATAAAATAGCCACCCTGGCACCCCCAAAACACCATAAACCTCAGCTCTAAAATAAGTTAAATCTGGGTGCAGGAGTCTTAGTCTCATCAAACTGAGAGGCTGGCAAACAGCCTGTGGGGGACATGCTGCAGATGTGGCGCCACCACTCACCACTGGCCATTTCCGTGCTTCCGCGATGAACAGATTCAATTTTTCATTTTGTGGGGTTTCTTTTCTCTCCTTTGCCCACCTCTTGTGCAAATTCGTATTGGATTTTCCTGCATCACAGGGAATAATAATGAATCGAAGCGAGTTAAGGTTGGTGACGTAGTAGTGTGGTCTACACAGAAATAGGCATCATTTAAGGCAATATGTCAAAAGACAGGGAAGTGTCGTGGATCTATGCCTTTGTTCCTCAGGTTCAATCCCTGCAGCATCTCCGGGTAGGGATAGGGAAGGCTCAGATCCTGGAGAGTCACTGCCAAGGTGTCATTGGACAGCGCTAAATGGACCAATGGTCTGATCTCAGTATTCAGCTTCATAACACCAGTGCATGGCACCTGTCATTCATTTAAAACATACCCCTATCTACTCAAATGCCATTTCTTATCATAAAATTGGGGCGATGTCCCTGAATCCAATCCATGCAGTTCCTGAGCAGTTTCAGGGGGCAGTGTGTGTGTGTGTGTGTGTGTGTGTGTGTGTGTGTGTGATGATTCTGTTTATTACCATATATATATTCATTTAAACAACCTTAAATCAATTACTTCCCTTCTTCTCTTTCTGTGGTTCATTTTGCATACCATACATCCCTGCATATTTTACATTAACGAAACTATTCAGTAATCCATTGTTACATCCACCAAAATTTATTTTCACTGTTGGATTTATCTTAACGCTACCAGGGGGCACTTCTTACGAAGCCAGTTTCCTTGTAAGTGTGAGTAATTGAGTCATAACAAAACTTAACTGAAAGAAAACAACACATAAATGTTGAGCAGTGTTTGTAGTGTGTGGGCAGGCGGGCAGGCACACACAGAGAGCTAGTCTCTATAACCGCATCAATTCCCCCCAAAGCAAATTGCGTGCCCTTGAAGCCTCTCAGGGTTCCTTCTTCCCAGCCAGCTGGAAAAAACCCAGAGACTTCTATCTCTGCCAGGGCGCTCTCTTCAGATGCTTGTATCTAGTAGCCACCAGCCATTAACCACCATTTAAACAAGCACTGTGGCCCACTGAAGGAACATTGTTTACAATTTGCTGGACTCCCATAGCCAAAGGCCAATTATTCTGTAGACAGGGCTCCCCTATATTGAACAATCTTTATAAATTATGACAGCTGGGGAGGGCTGTGGGGGGCTGGAGGGAAGAGGGCCCAGCCTTTCACCTCAATTTTTCTCCAGCCTGGCCTCGCAGTGCCCATGAGGTGTAGCCATCTGTCTGAATGGCAGTTGGCCGGCCGGCAGGGAAGTCTGAGCAGTTGGTTGCCATCCAGTTCCTAGTGGGCAAATGTCCACCTGACAGAATCTACCACCCTAATTGGCACTAATTGGCATTCCTTGTGACAGACTTGGCTTTGTGGAACAGACGCCTCAGGGCAGTGCCAGGCAGTCTCCATCCTCATGTGTGAACGCAAATTGGCCAAGCAAAAAGGTAACACAGCTGAGAGAGAGAGGTCTCATTCACACTTTTGCTTGACACGTATTTTGATCGTATTGTGCACCAATTAATCTTCACGGGTCTGAGAGCGTTTCTTGTTGTTCCATGGCTGTGCCTTGGGAAAATCTGATCTTACCTGCTGAATCAGAAGCTTTGGTTAAGCAAAAGCTCTCTTTGGATTTTCCGCACATCTGGTAAGATCTGATTCGGTGGGTAAGATCTGATTTTTGCAAGGAACAGCTGCAGAATCACAAGAAAAATTATTGGACCCTGGGGAATTAATCAGTATGCAATACAATTAAAATACGACTCCAGTAAAAGTGTGGATGAGACAACTGAGAGTTCTTAAGGACTGCCCCCAAATCCAGGCTGCCCATGCAGAGACAGAAGCCTCTGACACTCGAGAAGCAAAGTTCCAATTGATAAGTTGCTGGTTGACGATCAGTAAAAGAAGGTATGTCTTTGTCTTTCCCCCCTTGCATCATAAACCGGTAGAACTCATTGCCACAAGATGCTGAAAAGGCCACTGCCCTTCTTTTAAAGTACAGAATATATAAAAATACATGGAGGCAATGTCTGTCGGTGGCTGCCAGCCATAACAAGATGTACACTTGTAAATTCAGAGGCAATTGAGAAGGGGTGGGGAAGAAAGGCTATCATTCTTGTACTTGCTGTGTGCAAACAGCCTCCTCTATGGACAGTGTGGTTCTTAATAGCACCTTGTAATGCTTAGTCTCAAAAGTGTTTTGTATACATTTTCTCATAATTTCCTCATTCATACAGTGGTAAGTATCTGCCTGTCACGTGAGAGACTTGGGCTTGATTCCCCAATGGGGATCCAGTGAATTTTGAGAGCCTGTGTAGTGTTGGGGTTAGAGTGCTGGACTAGGACTCAGGAGACCAGAGTTCAAATCCTCGCTCAGATGTAAAACTCACTGGGTGACCTTGGGCCAGTCACAGTGTCTCAGCCTAACCTACGTTGCAGATTGTTGTAATTTACAACCATTTGTAAGGATAAAAAATGGAGCTGAGAAGAACCATCTAAGTCACCTTGAGCATCTTGGGGGAAAGGTGGGGTATAAATGTAACAATAAATATATATAATAAATAATTCCTTACATCAGCCTTGTCAGGCAGGCCAGTGTTGTGACCCTGCCTTACAGAAAGAGCAGGGGTGCTGTGGTGGAAGAGAGCGGCTTGCTTTTGTGAGTTAGTAGTTGGTAGGTGAGATTCAAATCTGGGATGTCTGGCTCAAGCTCTGCACTACTATCTTATATTGACTCTTTTCTCTCTTCACTAGAGTTCACCACAGAAATGACTTCATATTTATTTTCTCTCCCAAGGATATGAGGAGGATATGAGGAGTGGACTTGGTGTTGGAACCTGTTGGGCAACTTTATTTTGCCTCCCCAGCAGAAGATGAAGAAAGGAGCAAAGGGGGAGGAAGAAAACAAGCCCAGAGACACCTACTGAGAGGGCAGGCCTCTTACAGCCCTGGCCTGTTCCTTTGCTACCCTCATCTTCATTTTCCTCCCCCATCCCATTCTTAATCCACCTTCCAAATTTGAGGCCAAGAAAAAGGAAAAAACACCCTGAGCAACAACAGGCAGCTTCCTTTGTATTCAGGGACAATGTCAGGAATTTGTCCAGCTATAACAACTAGAGCATGGATCATGAGGTCCAGAAACTTGTTCTTTAAAATAAATGAAAGCTGCAATTTTCACTCCCTATTCCTTTTAGGTTTATGCTCCTAGTGTTACTGTGTTTTGTTCTCTTGCAAATCTCCCTGGAAATGGTTACTAATGATGCTTTATTTGTAGAGTTTTGAATGTCTATTTTGTACAATTTTTGCTTGTAATGCTTTTTTTGTTTTGTTTTTTGTTTCAGATCGTAATTTGTTTTTCCTGTTGATGTTGCTGCTTTAAGCGTGGATCTTTCTTGCAGTTTGTGTTTGACCTTTATCTGTAATGTTTTATTTCGATATTCTGTAATGTTCTATTTGACATTGCGAGTTACGCTGTAAAGGATTTGGAGAGTTGTTTATTTTGTTATTTAAACATGAAGTGGTCTAGAAATGATTTCAAGAAAGAAAGAAATGTACACTGGAGGGAAATCTGTAATATAAGTCAATGTCTGCTTCTGCTGTGCGCTGTGACTGCTGGGAAATGTCTTCTTTGGTTATTTTGAGACAGCAAGCTCTGCTTTCCCCTTCTGTTTCCTTTCTCCAGGCGACTGTTAAAGGCCAGACCTGTACTGTGTCTCTTTGCCCTCTGCATCTCAAAAAGTAGCAAAGGCGCGACTCCTCCGGTGCATCTGGGGCTCAGCTCTACAGGCCACAGTGGCTTAGGGCTGCCAATTATTTCACCAGCTTCTGCTCTTTCGTTGCCTCTAATATATTCAAACAGCATGCCAGGCTATTTCTTTCGGCCTGTTCAGTTGGCAACTTAAGTCACAGCACACACCTTCTCTTCCTGCTCCTCACCAAACCCCTGGACTTAGAAGGACCCCCTTGGCTTGGCATGGTGTGCATGTGTGAAATCAGATCTACGCCCAACTTCCCAAATCCGGTTAATCTGCCTCCTCCTGGCCTGGCGAGGGTGGCTTATTTTGGAAGGCAAGTGCTGCAGTCTGAAGAACCGCTGCTGGCTGAAGGCCCCCCGCCCCTATTTGCATAGCTCCTAGACAGGCGTGCGCCTCTGTTTTTGCACCACGTTGTGACCTTCCCCCCTCCCCATTTTTCAAGGCAACACCCAGGGGACCCGCCAAGGCCACACAAAGGCCCTTCCTTCCTCTCAGCTGAGCTCCTTGCTTCAGCGCAGTTGCCATAGCAACCCAGGAGGGAACAGGCCTGCTCATCTCCAAGGCCCTGCAATCTCAAACTGTGTTTAGAGAGGGGGGGATATTTCAGAGGCCTTGGCCACAGGGAGATGCTGACCTTGGCCAATTCACGCATTATTTTCTCAACTTGGAGGCAACATAGCAAAGTATAAACAGTTCATCGTTTGTGTACGGCAGCTTGGTTGCCGACACCTCCAGCGGTGGAGGTAGAACATAGCTGTCATATAGCTGATGAAAGCCTTATTTTCCATGAATTTGTCTAAATCTCTTTTAAAGCTATCCAAGTTGGTAGCCATCACAAGAGTAGCGTTCTTCTGCCATTGCTACATCTTGTAGGAATGAATTCCATGGTTTAACTATTTGCTCTGTGAAAGGTACTTTGTTTTTGTCCGTCTTGAACCTTCCAGGTGAGACCACCTGCAGCCATTAGGAGATGATAATCTTCCTGTTTTGATTTGTGTGGCTCAAGCTGCTGTTACAGGCACAAGAGCTGGTCAGAATGATTCTTCCCCTGGTTAGTTGGCAACTCTGGAAGGCACATGCTTAATCAGATGGCTACCCTGCAATAAACAAGTGGAGCCTTGAGCCTTTCCCCCAAAGAGCTGCCACTTTTAAACTTGGCAAATTACGGGCTGCCTCTCCACCCTCCAACTTGAGAGAGCAAAACAAATAGGACGTCAAGGGGCCTATATAGTGACCACAGTACTGTATAATCATCGGTGTCTGGTTGCATTGTTTTAATTATTTTAATTATGGAAATGCAGAGTTGGTTAAACAGGCCACAAATGCGCAGCAGCCATTATAATATTTTATATAGCACAGAGCAATTGCATTTTCCAAAGTGGCAACTCAGGAACGTAATTGTTTATGTAAACGCCTTATAATACAGCAACACTTCCTTTTGTAGCTAATACGTATGTTCTGGTTAAAGGAGCTTCCTTTTGGTTTATTTCAGTGCATTCACCTCTGCACTAGATAACACCAAGGTTGCAGGTTCGATCCCTGTATGGGCCAGCTGCATATTCCTGCATTGCAGGGGGTTGGACTAGATGATCCTCAGGGTCCCTTCCAACTCTACAGTTCTATGATTCTATGATTCTATGATCATCAGACGTTGTCAAATTGCTCTCCACAACCTCAGTTGCTCTACAGCCATTAATCTATCATCAAGAGGCAGCCTCCTTAATGGCATGCAATTCGAAGGACATTGGAGTTAGTTGACCCACATGAAAGTGCACTCAGGAACATTATACAGATTGGGCATGTATCCTAGTTTACAGAGGATAGTCCTCTATTTGAAGACTCATAGTATCATTGAGTTGGAATAAAGCCCTCTTGTAGCATCCAGCCTCTACGGAAGAAGAATCCATCATTTCCCAAGGCACCTCCACTATTCCACTCTCAAAGAGCTCATAATCACATACCAACATGTCTCATGTCTAGTCTACATTGCTTTTCTTGTAATTTAAACCCATTGGTTCAGGTCCTACCCTCCGGAACAAAAGCAAACATATTTGCGTCTTCTTGTACACGGCAGCCCATTAAGCAGATTGAGGTGGCACAAAAGTCATATTCACACAGTCTTCCTTACTATGCTGAGAGGCATTGGACCCATTTCTATTTAAATTATAGCAATGGCTTCTACATATACATATATCTTAGCATATGCAATGTTCATTAAGGGGAAGGGTTGTAGCTCAGTGGAAGAGCCTCACATTTGTCTGCAGAAGGTCCCAGGTTCAATCTGTGGTACCTGCAGGCAGGGCTGGGAATCCTGTCTGAAATCCTGGAGAACTACCAGTCAGTGTGGGTGAATGATTCCATGTGGTTGGTGTTGACAGGGATTAGAAAGAAGGGCATAAACTCTGGGCGAGTGGTTCAAACCCCCGTCAGACCCCAAAGACTGGCACTGCCAGGAAGCATTGGCAGACTCACCATGTGATGGACCCAGGCAGAGAGTGGCCACGTGTCCTATTTTACAGAGGGAAGCCTTCTATTTAGAGATGTCCTCTATTTAATAGGCTATCCAGTCCACGTCTGAGATTAAGGGCTCATCCAGCCTTCCTTTTGTGCTATGTTTCTAGGCACAGGCCTGCATCTTAAAGTCTGAGTGGAAACTCACTCTTTAATGCTGAATCAGAGCAAATGGAAATCTGTTAAAGGCTGAGTTTTCATGGGGAAAGTACCAGGGGTGGGGGAGCACTCAGACACAGCACTTTAAAGCATGGACCTGTCCCAGAAAGCACAAGGGAAAAGGTAAGTGTGGATGGGCTCTAAGATAAAGAACACAAAACACAAGGGCACCATTTTCCCTACTAGGGTGATGCAGGAACATAGAAACTCCCTTATCCTGAGTCAGACCAATGATATTGGCAGCTCAGTACACTGAGTGACAGTGGCTCTCCAGAAGGTTTCCCCAGCCCTACCAGGAGATGGTGGGGATTGAACTTGGGAGTCTTCTGTTGCCCTACCACTGAAATCTGGTGCAGTATTTCTATTTAAATTACAATATTTCTTTAGAAATTAGGACATGCACATATAAATTAGTATATGTAAACTTTATCAGTGTCCATGATTGTCCTCCTTTTTGGTGATGCACAAGGGGTCACCCTTTGCGTGGTTGTGATCTGTAACAAGGCAAATGCAGATATGTCAATTTATTTTAATGCTAAGGAAAGGGAGGAGCTGTTCATGCGCTGCAGCCCTTTTAAATATGCTAAAAAGGTTTCATGCTGAGATGTATAGAGACAGTACCAGCCTGTCAGTTAATGGAAGCGAAATACAAAGCAGCGCCCTAACGGGCAGGACTTTTCCAACTGCAGTTGCGAAGAGCACTGGCCCCATGCCCCCAGCCCACTGCCCACCCTGCTTACCTTTGCCCTAGCTGGGTGGGATTGGTATGTGAGGAGCCAGATGAGCAGAAGAGATGTCTCAGCAGCAGGGATAGCCACTATGTGTGCATTCCGCCATGCGCTAATGCCCACACAATAGGAGAGTGTTAATGTAGCTCTCGTCATTTGCCAGTTCACTGGACACCACTCAGTCACTGTCTGGGCTCGCTATCAGATCTGGATACCTGCCAAAAGCTAGGTTTGCGGGAGGGGGAGATTCAGAATTTTTTTTGGGGGGGGGGAGATGGCCAGGGTTTAAGGAGACTGGGTCATAAGCACAGTTAAAACCACATGGACAGCTTCCTCTGTGATGGACTTCCTGGACTGAGGGATGCGGAGGGGAGTCAGAGAGAAAAGTCAATCACTTCCAGTTCCCCATCCCTAAGTCCTGATGGTAAGGCCAAGCAAACATATTGACAAAAATCACATCTGTGAAATGGGGCTACCAATGACCTGCTTTCTAGGATTGCTGTGAGACTGCAAAAGTATTTTGCAAATGATTATGGGTTTATGCTAAAAAAACTATCCACAGATTGCAAGTGAGAGATCTTCACGTGGGACTCAATGGCATGTTAAAAACTATCATGTTTACTGTGGCATGAGGCCACTTGAGGGGCCTCCTCTGCTGCCACTTCATCATCACGTTTGCTTCCTGACTGACGTGAGGAAAGAAGTGACGTGGCTTGCCACAGGGAGTTGTGGAGGTCACAGGCAGCAAAATGGGAAGCAAAGAAAACACCTGCAGCAGGCAAGGTGGGGTCAAAATGATGCATCTTGGCCCAGACCAAGGAGATTCCTAGGAAATGGAGGCCTGCTCTAGGCTGCTCCAGGGAGTAACCCAGGGATTCATTAGGCTATTCATTTATTGCACCTTCATTGTGTAATTCTTTTGTATTAGGAAGTGTTGCTGTTATTTCTTAATGCTCTGCTATTTCTGTGAGCCACTTTGAGCTCAATTTGGCTGAAAAAGCAGCATACAAATATTAAACTACTAGTGTTGCTTGCCAACTGCACCTCCTCTTGGCTTCCGGCTAATTAAGGATTCTAATATGGCACTACAAATTCTCCATTGGGGGCTGTGTGATGATAGCATTATTTTTTATGTATATAAGAAGAAATTATATAGCAAAAAAGGCCAATTATGGGTCCCCCTCAACTCCTCACAAGATCACCTTTAGCCATTGTCAGTGGAAAACCACAACCACAACTGTGCAAGCCCTGCAAGTCAGCACACAAAACCCACTGGCCTGTAGAAATTTTCACCAGCCTGTACCACAGATGTTGTTACAGGATGGAGTAGGGGATCTGAGCATCAGATCTTTGTTATGGGCCCTCCCCACATTAAAGGGCTCCTTCAGGTGTCCTTTTTATGGTGCATTCATGATTATTTATGCTCATGATGCTATTGAAACAGTCTCATGTGATCCCACTTTTAAAACTCTTCACATCTGCAAAAGATTTGGGGAAATTATAGTGCTTCATTTCCAATCAGTGCATATCCTTGAATTTTCTGCCAAAATCCCACACCTTTGCATAGCACATGTGTTCTGGTGTGGTGCTGTGGTTTTTTGTTTTTTTGTTTTGTTCCACTTCCGTTGTGTTCAAGCCCCTCTGGACCCATCTGGACCACAAAAATGTGGTAGCATTGGGGAAGCATCACAAAACAACTAATAAAGCAGGATAAATCCACCACTAACTCACTAGTATTGTCTCAAGCACATGCTATAGAATACACTCACCACCAAAGACCAGTCTGCAGGGGCCCTTAAAACAGTTTAGAAACACACACACAAAAAACTGTGCTTCTAGGGTGTCTGGGTGCATCGCAAGACCCCAGCCACCCAAAATCTTAATTTTCCGGAGACATCTATTCATAAAAAAACAGCCAATGCCCATTTTATGAAAATATGTGCCAGGAAAGTATCCTTTAAGAAATTAGCCATGCCATTATTTTATATTGGCTGTTTGTGGCCCATCAATACAGCATGGAAGGTGGGGGGGGGGAGCCTGCTGAAGCGCACTGCAGTCCATGAAAGCTTAAGCCATCATCTTCAAGGTGCCAGAAGACTCTCTTGTTCTTTTCTCTTTACAATGCTTCCTCCACCTGGCAGCCTGGAGGAGATTCTTACTCACTGCAGGTACCCAGGCAAACTGCCCAATGTTCATTTAAATGATGCCTGCACAGGAGAATGTCCAGGTCAGGTGGACCATCCTGCTTGGGATTGGAGTGCCAGTTCAGTTGCCCGCCCCAGGTGTTAAAATGGCTTGAAGAGCTGGGAGAATGTTTGGTCCCTTGGTTGTATTGAGCTGGCTTCACAGAGAGTTTTAGAAGCAGAGGCTTGGGAGGTGTCAAGTAGACTGCTGTGCTTTGTCTCGCTGGACTCTGGCATTGTGCTGACTCTGCCTTGAGACTAGGACCACTCATGGACATATGCTGGGAGATGTACTTTGCAAAGATCTCTCCTGACACCTATCTGCACCCTTTAAAAACTACAGTTCCCAGGATTCTTTGGGGGAAGCCCCAACTGCTAAAGTGGTAGTAAAGGTAAAGGGGTAAAGGGACCCCTGACCATTAGGTCCAGTCATGACCGACTCTGGGGTTGCGGCGCTCATCTCGCTTTACTGGCCGAGGGAGCCGGCGTACAGCTTCTGGGTCATGTGGCCAGCATGACTAAGCCGCTTCTGGCGAACCGGAGCAGCACACGGAAACACTGTTTACCTTCCCACTGGAGCAGTACCTATTTATCTACTTGCACTTTGACATGCTTTCGAACTGCTAGGCTGGCAGGAGCAGGGACCGAGCAACGGGATCTCACCCCGTCGCGGGGATTCGAACCGCCAACCTTCTGATCGGCAAGCACTAGGCTCTGTGGTTTAACCCACAGCGCCACCAGTGTCCCTGCTAAAGTGGTATAAGAGTGCTTTAAATGTACAGTCAGTACAAGGCTCTAGCAGTTGGCTCTTGCTTAACTGCACAGGCTGCTCCCAGGTAGGAAAGAAGAAGCAGAGGGGAAAAGCGAAGATGTTCCAATCATTTTATTAGAGCTACAAATAACACAGAGCCAGGCAGGGCCCAGGGAGAAATAACAGCATCAAATGAGAAGCATCGTCCGTAGCAGAAAAGGTTGAAGCATGAAATCCAAGGAATTACCAAAGAATCCAGGCAAGCAAATTAGGTGGGTACAGCAGGCTCCTTTGGAGTCCACCTTGAAGCTGAAACAGGAAAAAGAAGAAAAAGCCAAGTCAGTTCCAACTGTTGCCAACTGTGCCAGTATTTCCCCCCATATCCGCCCCGGTTTGGCATAAAGTTGGAGCCTTTAAACGACAACGGTTGCTTTGAAAATCATGACACTAAAAAAAAAAAAGGAACAAAAGTCTGGAACTTCTGTTTGTCTTGCCAGCTGAAATTTTAACTTCACTCAAAGAGAATTTGAAGGTATGAACAGTACTTCCTTCACAAAATAGCTTGAATCTGTATTAAGTGCACTTCAGTGGCGACACGGTCCTATCTTCAGCCCCTCCCTCCTCCATCCCTGGGAGAATCTCCTTTAAAGTGGGCTTCATGGTCTGATCCATGGCTGCCAAGCCCTTACTCAAGCTCTCTTGTACCTGGCCCAATCCGGATCAGGGAGAGACCTGAATGCAAAGATGGTTCCTCCAGGCAGAGAGAGCAGGCTTGCAAAAGAAACGGCTCACTGTCCCTTTAAGTCCCCATCCTCTGTCTGATGAGGCTCCGATGAATGGGGAATTGAGTGAGCCAGTGGCAGCTGTTCTGCTTGGAACAGCCTGAGACATTTCCTTTGTGCTGCGGACATGTGGTCCGGCAGTGCTGAGCGGGAGGGAGGGGCTCCACTAGGAGAGCACTGGGGTTATGGGGCCTTTCGTGTGTAGATGTGCCTACGTGTTTTAAATGCGCAGGCACTGCTGCCCTTTTTAAATTTTGCACTTTTCTGGAAATAGGTGCCTTTGCAAATGCCCACTGGTGCATTTGTATGTATGCGGCTTTGTATGTAAGCAACTTGTGTATCTTGAAGGGTTTCAGAAATGCATTTGTAGCTGCATCAATGCAGACACCGATGCGCACAAATACACCCAGCGGCTGGTTCCTATTAACAGAAGTGCTGTGTTTGGAAAGAGACCAGGAGTCCTTAACAAGCTCCAATCCCGGGATACGATGCTGATTAATAACTAATCATCATTACAGGGCTTCTTGTTGGTAGCACAGGAGATGCTGGGGCTCAAAGGTCTCTGCTGTTCCTCATTATTATGGCTGACCCCACACATCTCCTCTTCTCTCGCTTGTGGCAGTGGTCAGTGCCCTAATCCTCCTGGATGTGATGATTCCTTTGGATATCCTTAGGCAGCGTTCAAAAGTACTGTGGCAGGCATAAGGACTAGAAACTTGATTCTCCTGAAGCTGGATTCTACACACAAGGCCACCATTAGTACTTTGTTGTTGTTGCTCTCTGGCAGCATTGTAGCAGACATCCAGCTCTGCTTGTTTATGCTGATAGGGATCAATGCATATAATCCCCTCCCAGCTTTCTCATGCACTCCTCCACTTTTCAGTGCATCCTTGGCTCTTTTCAAGGCTTGGTCTCCCAGGCACAGCTAGGAATGTCAGTCTCTGGAGTCACACTGCAGCTGCCAGTGCCCCAGAGGCAGGGTAGAATTTCAGGCTGGGGACAAGCTACATGAGCCTCGCCTTCTCCTCAAGTGCCTGATCCAGGATTTTACAGCATTTCTCACAGATGAGGAGGAAGGACATTACGTCAGCGGCTGTGCACTCTCACACACGCTAAACGTAGCAGTTCCTGCTGGAAGGGCAGTTCACAACCCTTGCGATCACAGCATTTAACCCTGCCTTAGTCCAAGCCAGATTCTGGCTGTTATGAATGGCAAAATATATACATGCCCCACTTCTAAGACTGAACTCACAATTCAGTTCTTACTGGCTAAAATGAGAGGTGCTGAAGCCTGAAGCTGCCAAGTTCCCAATTTCTAAAAATGTGAAAAAGGAAGGTGCACTCTGTACATGCTCAGAGGCTTTCAAATGGGGCTTGCACAAAATAATTTCTCAATGAGTTGTGCTTCAGGTTCACAAGCAGTGGCAATGGGGAAGTGTTTGGGTGTTCCACCTTAGGCAGAAAAATTACTTGCACCAGCCCTGCTTGAAAACATAGAAAGAGCAACAAGAAGACTCGAAGTTAAACTGAAATCAGCTTACAATCTCATGATTTCCCAAACTTGTACTCTGGATTTTATAAGGTATCCTAAAGGTGGATTCATTAACACTTTCCACATGTCCTGAATAATGCTGTTCACTCCATACTGCTGTGTACTTTGCCAGGGTGTCAGCAAGCAGGCTTTGGGGGGGGGGGAATGCTTATCACCTAGGATTTGAGCAAATATTTGCTTCTCTGCAGGAGCCAGGATATGCAGCTCCTGTCTGCAGCCTCTGCATGAGCTACCAGTGGCACAGAGAGCATGCTATTATTTGAGAGACCAGAATACAGACTAACTAGAGAGCCTAGGAGTCCCCGTTTCATGGAACCATAAAATCATAGAATCATAGCATTGGAAGGATACCAATGGGTCATCTAGTTCACCCCTGCAATGCAGGAATCACAGGTGTCACTGCTTATGTTGTTTTTTTTAAGGCATTGGCTGCTGAACTTGGAAGCTTCATTTACAGTGTTCCAGCCCTGGGACTTGAGGAAAACAGCACAAATGATACCTCTGAGCATGCGTAGAGTACCTTTGTTTATTGCTAGTTCCCATAAGGCAGGAAATTGACAAAAAAGAGCCTACCTGTACTAGGTTTGAAGGAATTGCTGTTAAGATCCTGATCCACAGACTGTGAGGTCTCTGGCCTGAATCTCACATCTGCCCCAAACACAGCAGGTGATCTTTCACCCAGTTCTTTCTTAGCTGCACTTCTGCAATATGGGGGTAATACTGACCTACCTTGCAGGGTGGTCATTTATGATGAATGAAACCATGCATGCCAAGCTTTCTGGACTTTCTTATGTTGCTCTAGACAACATTTGTGTCACTATTATGAAGTGGCCTCTGGGCCCCTCTGCTTCAGCATTCAGCCTCCCTTTAGGAGGGTCACAGCCCACTTCAACTTCCTTTCATTCATTTGTGGTCTTGAGGCCACAGCTGCTGTTGGGTGGAGAAGGGGGCACAGGAAAGCTCTCTCCCAGCAGTCAAGGAAGAGGGGCCTGGCTGGTTGGTGGCTTCCGACGGGGGCAGAGGAAGCTGAGGAAGGAAACGGAAGCTGCTTTCCTCGGGGCTGACGCGCTTTGGCATGGCTGAGCCAGAAATGCGCTCACAGCTCAGTTGCGCCAAGCATTGCAGCCCCGTGAGTCCCCCTTCCTGACCGGAAGCCAGGAACAGAGCTGGGCTGGCCTCTGCTTCTGAGGGGCATGTCTGCACTGGCTGCATTTTGCCATCCCAAGCTTGTGGGGTGAGTCACCCTCTGAGTCACCAAGCCATCTCACCCAGTCCCTGCTTAGCATGGGGGGGGGGGGGAGAGAAACTGTTGACACAGTAAATAAAACAAGATTGGCACACTCTGAATTGGACGGTTGTCCGTCAGGAAAGACAGGGTCAAAACAAGGAGTGGATTCCTGGGCAGAGAAGCTGGACTCTCTTCACATGCACTATGGGCCACAAGGGTCTCTAACATAGGCAGTGCTGTCTCCTGCTCAGTGTGGTTGTGGAAGCTGCTGCCCAGAGCGAGGGGGGAGGTGAGGCAGTGGCTGCTCCTTCCTGGATCTGTCCTGCTTGGTGCTGTGCCAGGCTGCACTGAGGATGCCTCCCCGCTTCCATCCTCTCCCTGATAGAGAAACAGGCTAAGCAGTGCCCCCTTTACTTCTAACGCTTCCCTCCTGCCCAGCGGGCAACTGGTGATGCCCAGAGGGAGGGAGGATGCACAGTGCTGCTGCTCCTTGCCATTGCAGATCACTTGCTGGCCTGAGCGGGCAAGCGGAAGATGCCAGCTGGGATAACTTCCACCGCCGCCACTGCTCTCTCCTGCTTAAGAGGATTATGTACTTTGAACTTAGGAAAAACACAGGCATGGTGTAAAGTGCCTGATGAAGCCACTCTCTGTACACATCAGAAAAACACTTGGGAAGTCCCCAGCTGAGTCATAATAAGCATCCTGGATGATCTTAGGCAAGCAACCATCTCTATTCCACAAACTGTTCCACTTTGGGGGTGTTCTCTTGGCACCAACTGGTCATCCTTCGGTGCCAGGCAAATACAACTGTGGGGGGTGGGCATTTGGGCAGCACATGATATTATTAAATCTGCTTTTAATATGCTTTTGTAATTGCATTGTTGTTTACTGGCTTGTAAATCACTCTAGAACTTTTACGTGGCAAGTAATATACAGTGGTACCTTGGGTTACAGATGCTTCAGGTTACAGACGCTTCAGGTTACAGACTCCGCTAACCCAGTAATAGTACCTTGGGTTAAGAACTTTGCTTCAGGATGAGAACAGAAATCGCACAGAAGTGGCGCGGCAACAGCGGGAGGCCCCATTAGCTAAAGTGGTACCTCAGGTTAAGAACACTTTCAGGTTAAAAACAGACCTCCAGAACGAATTAAGTTATTAACCTGAGGTACCACTGTACAGTAGGTAAAACCTCAGCGCCTAGGACTTGCCGATCGCATGGTCGCCGGTTCAAATCCCTGCGGCAGGGTGAGCTCCCGTCGTTCGGTCCCAGCTCCTGCCCACCTAGCAGTTCAAAAGCACCCTTAAGTGCAAGTAGATAAATAGGTACCGCTTTATAGCGGGAAGGTAAACGGCGTTTACGTGTGCTGCTCTGGTGCCGGTTCGCCAGAGCAGCTTCGTCACGCTGGCCACGTGACCCGGAAGTGTCTGTGGACAGCGCTGGCTCCCGGCCTCTAGAGTGAGATGAGCGCACAACCCTAGAGTCTGTCAAGGCAGGGGTACCTTTACCTTTACCACTGTACAGTATACATGGAATAACCCTAGCCCTAACCCTGGTTTCATTCCTCATGTCTGTAACAGAATAGCAATGACCAAGTTTGTTCAGAGTTGTTGTGACTGAGGCAGCCTTTCTCAATGTGGTGCCTTTCCAGTGTCTTGGGACTAACTCCCATCAGCCTCAGCCAGCATGGCCAATGAGCAGGGACGCTTGGAGCTGTAGTTCAGCACCATCTGCAGGACCACAGGCCTCCCACCCTGGCTGCATACACACTACTGCCTTTTAAAGACCATTTGAAGCATATCCTTTCCCTCTAAGAATTCTGGGCACTGTCATTTCTTAAGGCTGATGAGAGTTGGAACTCTGTGAGGAGTAAACGACAGTACCCAGAATTCTTTGAGGGTAAGAATGTGCTTCAAAAGTGCTTTCAAGGTATTGTAGCCTTACTATTCTAAGCAGGACAGAATCACAACTGCTGGGGTGGGTGGAAGTTGGGAGTCCAACAGCACCTGAGGGTCCTCATGGGCTCCTCATCCCTGCATTAGATTTTTAAAAATAGGCTACTTAAACAAGTAAACATGGAGTTAATATGTAGTTTATTAGCAGCTGCAAAATTATCACCTCCTGACTCCTGCCCTGAGAATTCTCCATTAGAGCTCAGTGTGCTCACCAAGCTACAATCTCCAGGAAGCTTTGGGGAAGTCACGGCATTAAATTAAATTGACAGAAGTGTGCAGTGCTCTGAAAGGTATAGGGCGATGTGGCAAAAGCAACAGAGGGAAGTTAACTGGGTGATGGGATATGAAGAGTGGAGGCCCAGTTTCCTCCTAGCAAGTTCCCTCATTGCTGCTGTTACACTGCAGAGCCTATCCCCCACACCCAGATGTAACCAGTTTGCTAGAGCCATTCCTTACTCTCCCAAAATCTGGAGGACCAAACAAGCGAGAGAGGGCAGGGCAGAGAGAGGATACCCGCCAAAGGCGCTGGCGGTGTGTAATGATTTTAGGATGAGGACAGCGGCAAAGGAAGTGGGGAATAAATCAAAGCGCTGCATTGGCACAGGACCCTCACAGGCAGGAAACTGACGGGAGGGGAAGGAAGAGGGACAGATTGAGGTCAGGAAAGCAGCTTGAAACATTCCAAGGTCAGCAGGAAGGCCTGGGAATCCAAGCGGAGATGGGGAAGAGGAAGTAATGAGGAGGAATGGGCCAGGGGGCCAGCAGGCCCTTATCTCTCTGAGCCATGCATGTGCTCCAGGTTAGCGGGGGTGGGGGGATGAAGCTGGAGGTCTGGCAGTGGACCAAGGCAAGTTCCACAAGGGCAGACAGGAAGCTGTCACTTAATATAAGATGTGGGTAATGAAGGCCATTTAAGAGCATATATAAGAACATAAGATGGGCCTGCTGGATCAGGCCATGGGCCCATCTAGTCCAGCATCCTGTTCTCACAGGGGCCAACTAAGTGCTTATGGGATGCCTGCAAGCGAGACATGAGCACAGCAGCCACTCTCTCCATCAGCGATCCTCTGCAACTAGTAGTCAGAGGCACAGAGGCAGACTTGCTTTGGGTCTTTCCCAACTAGCGACCAGGTCATGGGTTCTTGCCCATAAGCCTACAAGGATGTTCTGTTCACAACAGTCAAAAGAGCATAGATGCATGGACAGGAAAAGAAAAATTCTGAGCGAACCACTTTTTAATATCAATTTTAAATATGTGCTCACGTGCCTCTTTATTTAGGCACTATTTCACCCCAAAAAATCATGGTTTTTTGTTTGTTTTTTAAAAGTAGGCACAAAAGTATTAGCAGATATTTTTAAAAGTGGAGGAGGGACATGCTTCAAAAATGGTACCAACCTTGGGGCACTGTTTTTAAAAATATTTTTAAATTTTTATGTTTCTCTTAAGTGCTGCTGCATGGATATTTGAATACTTAATGTGTGCGCGTGCAGAACAGATGCTTTAGGGCAAATTAAACAATCCATTTTAAAATTAAACTAAAATAAATTATCATGCTGACAAAATGGTGCTGAATGGAACCTTATGAGTCAAGGAAGTGGAAGTGGTCTGTGGATTTTCCTGGATTTGGAAACTCTAAGTAACTACCAGCCAGTTGCCAGTCTCCCCTTCTTGGGCAAGGTCCTTGAGCAGGTGGTCGGATTGGAGGAAACTGATTTTCTAGATCCATTTCAATCAGGGTTTAGGCCTGGTTTGGGCACAGAAACTGAATTGATTGCCCTTACGACGACCTCTGTCAGAAAGAGAGAAACGAAATGTGTCCCTGTTAATTCTTCTCAACTTCTCAGAGGCTTTCTGTACCATTGACCATGGTATCCTGGAGCGGCTGTTTGAATTAGGGGTTGGTGGCACCAGTGAGGGGTGTGGCCTAGGGAAAGGAGGTACGGCCTTTGCAGTCTCCCGAGGGCAAGGAGGAAAGCACATGGGATCATAGCAAGCTTTCTCAAACCGAGTTCCTGGGATAGCTCAGCTGGTAGACCATGAGACTCTTAATCTCAGGGTTGTGGGTTTGAGCCCCACTTTGGGTGAAAGACTCCTGCAATGCAGGGGGTTGGACGAGATGATCCCTGTGGTAGCTTCCAACTCTTCTGGGATTCTGTTCTACCGAGCTCTGTTCTGCCTACACGGACTGGCAGCAGCTCTTCAGGAATTCAGGAAGAGGTCTCTCCCAGCCCTACCTGGGACCTTCTGTATGCAAAGCAGATGCTCTGCTACTGAGCTGCGGCCCATCCCTGGCCGGGGGGGTGGGGGTGATGTTCCCTGCCTGTGTCCCTATCTCCATCAGGCCTGAGGTAACCCACTCCTGCAGTAGGCCGATACTTTCATGCACTGCTTTGGGGGGCTTCTCGAGGGGGGCATGTGATTGACAGCTGCTAGCACATGGGGTGTCTCGGTGGCTGGTTAGATCTGGCAGGGCTCTTCTTCTGCGTCATGGACCTCTCCCACCAGCCACGGTGAGGGCAAACACGCCTTTCAGCCTGCTGTCTGTTAGCCAGCGTGGAAGCTGAGGCCCAGGCCTCTCTCCCCCCTCCGCCAGGCCTGTGCATCTGTGTGAGAGAGCAGCAAAGCCCGCCGCACCTGCTCTGCCTTTGCTCCCTCCCTCCACCAGCTCCCAGCAGGTGCAGCTGCAAGGGAGGAACGATCAAACATAGCGATGGTGGGTGGCACAAGTGTAAAATAACAGTGTGGCAAAAGTGGTGTTGGTGGGGAGAGGGGAGGGGAGGGGAGGGGAAGGAGGTCCGGCTGAGCATAATGCAGCCATTCATAAGCTGCGATAGTAAGCATGCAGGGCCTAACAGCTGCTGGCGCATGGCGCATGGCATGGCGATGACCTGCGAGGGACTCCCTGGGTTGCTCCAGGGCGGCTTGAGAAGGAGGAGACTGGGGGCAGGGGTTGGGGTTGGACGGTGATGTTTATGCTCCTGTTTTAGTTTTACTTTTTTATGTATAGGTGTTTGTTTTTGTATTCTGAAACTATTATGAGCTGCCTTGAAAGGGCTTTTTGGCCCTGAAAGAGGGCATTAAAAAGAAAAGAAGAAAAGAAAGTATGGTATACTCTCTCTCTGGGAGTGTTTTAGAATATGAACTGCAGGTTTGGTTTGAGAACAAAAGAGATTGAAAGAGAAGAGGAAAGAAGGCTTTTTAGAAATGTTTCTGAATGTTTTAATTAGCTGATTTTAACTGTTTTATTATTTCCGTAAAACACTTTGAGTTGTGTTTGTTTTAAACAACCAAGTGGTGTGTAAATTTTGTTTAAAAAGTAAATAAAAACTCTGCCAATTTTTGTTGCCAAATCTTCTGAAATATGAACCAATCATGGAGCGGATGTGCATAATTTGGGGTTGGATACCAGGAAGGGTGTGTTTGTGTGACAAATATCTGGCCTGTTACAAAGCATGCCTTCCCTCAAGGGTCCAGGAAGAGACTCACCCTGCAAACTCCAGAATGCCCCCTTGTCTTTCATACAACTTAGCCTGGGAAAATTCTCCTCACCAGATGCTTTGCTCAGCATCACAAAGACAGAATAAATCTGATCTTCTTGTCAGTGCTTGATTATGGCCAAAAAGATAGAGGAACTTTAAAAAGGAAATGTGCAAAATTCATCCTTCATACTGTTCTATAAACCACAGCTGGGGGGTGGGACGTGATTTCACAAAAGGTAAGAGGGCTCTTTGACCTGGCAGATTCACAAAAGTTACAAATGCCAGCTCTCTTACTTTCGCATTTTTATATATATATATATATATATATATATATATATATATATATATAATGTTTGTGTGGGTTGTTTTCTTTGAGGTTGTTTTAATGGTTTGAATTGAGATGCTATTGTGGTTTTACATCTTCTCTCTGTTATCTGCCTCATTAATTCCTGTAATTATGGAGCAGAACGTGAATGTTCTAAGTAGTTAGGTAGGTCTGTGCATATTCTTGAATGTTCATATACAAAGGAAGGGCCCCTTTCCACCTTCACAGCAGCCAGCAGGTGGAAGAGGTGGCTCTGTCCCCTTTGACCTCCTAGTTCTCCCAGGCAATTTACACCAGAGATTTCTCTGGCACCATCTGTTCCCTGGTGTGTGTTATAATTGAATTGGGAGGCCTTCGCTACTTACCTCTGAGTGCATGGCCCTGGGGCCAGAGTTCAGAAGTTCAGCTACAGGAAGTGGCGTTCTCTCTTGCCCAGGTAATAATGGTTCAGGTGCTGCCAGCGCTTTGTCCATCTGCAAAAGGGATATCATCCTAGATCAGGCCTAGGTTGCCAAATGACAGGGAGAGACTGTCCTGTCCTGCTCCTAGTGCCTTGGCCAGGGCTTGTCTCCATGCTGTGAAAAACTCTAGCGACTGTAAAAGGTCCAGGAGCAGAGTCCAGTAGAAATGTTGACACACTTATCCCCGTAAGGCTGAGGTAATTAAACAGAAATTTGAGGGTAAGAGGGACTATGCATGGTGTGCGTGGTGAATGATCCTGATTTGGGACATTCCCCCCCCCCCATATAAGCTTTGGATACCTTCTAGCAACAGAAATCAAGTGAATTAAACCAGTCCCAAGCAGAGCTGATAAGCTGGGCCAGGCTTCTCCTCCTCAACCTCGGCCCTCCAGATGTTTTTGGCCTACAACTCCCATGATCCCTAGCTAGCAAGACCAGTGGTCAGGGATGATGGGAACTGTAGTCTCAAAACATCTGGAGGGCTGAGGTTGAGGAAGCGTAAGGTGGGCCACGGGTAGGCAAACTAAGGCCCGGGGGCCGGATCCGGCCCAATCGCCTTCTAAATCCAATCTGCGGACCGTCTGGGAATCAGCATGTTTTTACATGAGTAGAATGTGTCCTTTTATTTAAAATGCATCTCTGGGTTATTTGTGGGGCATAGGAATTAATTCATATATTTTTTTCAAAATATAGTCCAGCCTCCCACAAGGTCTGAGGAACAGTGGACTGGCCCCCTTCTGAAAAAGTTTGCTGACCCCTGGCTATGGACACCTGACAGCCGAGTATGTTTGGCAAAGTGAAACCGCATTGTAGGATGAATAGAATGTGTTATAATATTGCAATCCGATGTGTGAGAGGGGAGATGGTGGAAAGGAAGGTGTCCCTGGTCCCTCCCCAGGAGGGAAGGATGAAATGGGAAAAGAAAAAATAGCCTCAAATTATTCTGTTAAGGAATAAAGCTGAACCAGTTATTCTCCCACACCCCGCTGGTTGAGCACCAGAGCTGCTATATGAGCTCCGCTTATTTTCTGCCTGTCCTTTTGAGGGTGTTTTGATATTCAAAGTCAGTGGTGTGCCTGAGTAATTTAATTATTTGAGTGAAGACTGAGTAATCACGTATTCTGGAGAAAGTGACTGGTAATGTAGGTTACAAGGTTCAGTCCTCAGCCAGGAATAGAATGGATTACACAAGCGCAAGAGAAGACGGGTGAAGCCCAAGCAATTACCGTATTTTTTGCTCTATAAGACTCACTTTTTCCCTCCTAAAAAGTAAGGGGAAATGTGTGTGCGTCTTATGGAGCGAATGCAGGCTGCGCAGCTATCCCAGAAGCCAGAACAGCAAGAGGGATTGCTGCTTTCACTGCGCAGCGATCCCTCTTGCTGTTCTGGCTTCTGAGATTCAGAATATTTTTTTTCTTGTTTTCCTCCTCCAAAAACTAGGTGCGTCTTGTGGTCTGGTGCGTCTTATAGAGCGAAAAATACGGTAACACCGAGACCCGCAAGTGGTGAGAATGAAGCCACCTTTGAATGGCTGTTGCTGGGAATCCAGAACTGGACAGAGCGGCACAAAGGCTGCCTTTTCATGACACGCTGATGGCCTCTTAATTCAGTTTGTGCTTAAACCGACACACAGTTAAGTCTCAACTAACCAAATGAGCATTTCGAGATTTTTCTTCCCAAACTTGCTTGGGATCACTGCCATGGCTGCAGCTGTCCCTAGGTAAGTGGTCAGTTCGCACAAGAATTTCTTCATGGGGTTGTATTCCTCAAGGACACTGATCACATGGAGATAAAGTGTGTCCTTCTTAAAATTGTTTGTGTGCATGAACTGCCCCTTAGATCCAAAATGGACTTTGGACTGGGGCACCCCTTTGTGCTCATCCCTTGAAATAATTGCAGGGTTAAATGGTTGCTTGCATGAATCAGCCATCACACAGGTCACCCCAGATAGGATTGCCTGGGGCTTGGCTCTTACAATTTTAACTGAGTATGTCCATGAGCCTGTGTTTCCTACGGAAACGAGGAACCTGAGGACCAAATTTCCTGAGGGCCACATGATAGTGATGAGCAGGGCCAGAGGGAAACACTGGCAGAATAACGGATGTGACTCTTAACTTTTGTACAGTACTGCATTCCAGCCATGCAAAAGCAAGTGGCTTGTACACTGACGCCGCCGCTATATCTAGGCAAGCAAAGGGCATGATCAGAGTTGAAGGACACATTCCAGCCAGGCAAAGCTACTTGAGGAGAGTGCAGAGCAGGGCCTGGGAAGAGTGCCAAGGACCAGATAGAGAAGCCTGGAGGGTCACATTGATCCCCAGTTCTGCATTTCCCCATCCCTGCCTTAAAGATAAAGCTTGTTGCGAAACTATCTCCCACCCATCTTGAAATCTCTTTGCTTCCTTTCCTACTGAAATGGTGCCCCCCAAATTGCAAGCAGGTGCTTTTACACTAATGGGTTTCGGTCTCGGTCCAGGATGAATCACAGAGCTGTTCACCCAAGGAAGAAACAGAAGAGCTGCTTCTTGGTTGCTGGATGGGCTTCCCTCCCTTTCTCTCACGGGAGCTGAAGGCAGTTTAACGAATTCAGTTTCATAACAGGAGAAAGCTTGGAGGTTGTTAAGTATTTATAGGAAGCGTCAGGAGCTGGCTTAGCGAAGTTCCCTCTCTGTTTATGAGTCTCCCCCTCAAGTCCATCTGCTCTCCTTGAGCCACGCCTGGTGCGGTAATTCGGTAAAGAGCCATCTGCTCTCGCAGGCGATCTGTTTGCTCTTGCGTCGCTTTGTGGTGGAAATGGCAGCGGCTGCTGTGGCTACGCCTGTTCCCTTCCCAGGCTGAAGAGCCCGGTGTCTCTTCCCTGTGTGCTCCGTGTCCCAAGGCACACGGCACTGCACGGCTTGCCGAGTTTGATGAAGCGGAGCAGGTGCGCATGGGCCTGGCGCTGAAGGACCAGGCTAAAAATATGCAGCCGGCTTTTATTGCGGTCCAGCGCTGGCAGGCAAGCTCCAAATCTTAGCATACAAATGTACATCTCCCCACAACCTGCAAAGCCCATTTTCACCTTTAGATGTCAGGCCTTTTGCACATTTTTCAGGGGCTCCCAGGGCCAATTTTTAAAGTGTACACCTAGAAATGCCGAGTGTGAATTTCATTGGATGTCCGTGAATTCTGGTGTTATGTGGAAGGGAGAAAAACCTTTCTCTCCGTGTGACATGCATAATTTTATAAACTTCTACCATGCCACCTCTTACTTGCATTTTCTCTGAACTAAAAAGCCCCAAATGCTGCCACTTTTCCAAGTGGCAAGCAGTACCTTTGGGCAGCGTGAATGGCAGAAGAACGAGAGACAGATGAATCGGATCCCCTGAGGGAAGTTCCCCCACGATCACTGGCCAGGCAAGAGACTCTCTGCCTGTGGAATGCTGAAAAGAAGGAGCAGCTCTCCCTTCTCAGCCCTGGCTGTGCTATGTGGTCTCCCCTCCCAGTGCCCCCCTCCTCACTGCCTGCTGCTGCTATTTCAAAGGGCAGGTGGCTGTTCACATCTCCCGCTTTGATCTGCTCCCTTCCTTCTAACCTGGAGGGACCACCTGCCTCGCTCCTTCATAAAGCTGCTGTTAGTCTTCTTGCTGGCCCAGACTTGGGGGCCTCCCCATCAAGAAAGATAAAATTCTCCAATTAATGTCATTTTACCTGCCTCAGGAGCCTGACTCCACATGCTCTGTCTGCATCCTGCTGAATCGGCAGGGAGCTAGCACCTCCGGTTGGCTAGCAGGAGCCCCCTGAGGCCTATTTGGCCCTGAAAAGGGATTTTTGGCATCCTCGTGAGGTTCACCATCAGCCATAGCAATTAAGTGGTACCTCCAAGTGCTGCAGCACTATACCTTTGAGGACTAGATGCTGGAGAAAAGCCATAGACACTTCCCTGCCTGCAAGCTTCCACAGGGCTCACCTGGCCAGCCACTGCTCTTGGTAAACCTTCCTAGATAGCTCACTTGGTTAGAGTGTGGTGCTGACAGCGCCAAGGTTACAGGTTCAACCCTCGTATGGGACAGCAGCTGCATAGTCCTGTATTGCAGGGGGTTGGACTAGATGATCCTCAGGGTCCCTTCCAACCCTACAATTCTATGATGATTCCTTTGTGCTGCATCTGCTTAACCACAAGCTTAACATGAGTCAACAGTGTAATGCAGCACTAAAAAAAGTTAATGCTATTTCTAGGCAGTATCAAGACGTATAGTGTCCAGATCAAGGGAAGTAATAGTTCCACTCTATTCTGCCTTGGTCAGACCACACGCAGAGTGCTGTGTCCAGGTCTGGGCATCACAATTTAAGATGTATATTGACAAGTTGTAAGGTGTGCAGAGGAGGGAGACCAAGATGATCAAGGGTCTGGAAAGCTAGACTTATGAGGAACGGTTGAAGGAGCTGGGTATGTTTAGGATAGAAAAGAAGAGACTGAGGCGAGATATGACAGCCATCTTCAAATATCTAAAGGGCTGTCACATGGAAGATGGAGCAAGCTTGTTTTCTCCTGCTCTGGATGGCAGGACACGAACCAGAGGCTTCAAGTTACAAGAAAGGAGATTCTGACTAAACATATGGAAAAACTTCCTGAAAGTAAGAGCTGTTTGACATTGGAATGGACAGTGGAAGGCGGTGGAGGTTTTTAGGCAGAGGTTCGATGGCCATCTGATCAAGTTGAAACTCCTTAATTTGCAGGGGATGAACTCGATGACCCTCTGAGTCCCTTCCAACTCTACAATTCTGTGATTCCATGATTTTACAAGGCAGCAAGTCCACATGGCACCCCTTCCCCAGGTTGCTATACTCCTAGAATCAGTGCCTTTTTTTCTGGCGGGATGCAGAGGTACGCATATCCCTAAGTCTCCAGGTTTGCCTCCCAACCACCTGGTGGCAAAGGGAGGTCTTTAATCTGCAGGGGGGCAAGAACACCTTCCTTACCTAGACTCCCTAAGTAGGTGAGAATGAATGATTCCTTCACTTCAGCTGAACCTGGGGACACCCCTTAATTTCCAACTGGTGACATATTTGCTCATTTATCATATTTTGTATTTTTTTGTTTGTTTTGATGTGTCATGCTTAATGCCATCCATGCCCCCAGGTCTCAGGTATGGGCCCTAATAGCTCAGGATCTAGGATGCTCCTGACGTGACAATCTCAACCCCACTGCCACCACTTCCACAGAGGCTACTTTGAGGCACAGCCTCGTGGGGGTGTTCTCCTGTGGCAGAGCATGCGACTCAACCTGAGGGTCCTGGGTTCGAGCTCCATATTGGGCAAAACATTCCTGCATTGCAGGGGTGGACTAATGACTCTGGTGGGCCCTTCCAACTCCACAATTCTACGGCTCTGTGAATGGGGAGCCAGTATTTTTGCAAGCAGTGTTAGGAAGAGGCTCCCAGGAGAAAATCCTGGCAGTGGCATGCCTTGGGTCAAGTTGTTCCTTCCACCCAGAGGCTCTTGCCCTGCCCCTGCCTCCTCTGGGCTGCCAATGGGGTGCTCCACTGGGCCACCAGGCTCTCTGGGTCCCTCTCTTCAGCTTTCTCTCACTCCTACTCTACCCCATCCTCTTTCTGGACCTGGCAGCTTCTCAAGTCTCCATGAAAGGCGGGACAGATGGAGACAACAGAGGAGCTCATCTGGGACCAGCAGCAGCAGGAAGAGGCCAAGGCTCCTGTTATTGGGGGGGGGGGGGTGGAGGACAAAGGATAGAGGAGAGTAGGAAAAAGCGGAGAAAAGGGGGAGACCCAAAAAATAAGAGAGCAGCAAAGGGGCGGGGGCAAGGTAGGGTGTGGTAGCGTGGACTGAAGGCCAGAGCAAGAAGGGGCAGAAAAGCACTCAGAAAGACCAGAGGAGAGGGCTGAGAAGGTAGTGGGGCCCAGCTGGCTTTTCCCTTGGGCTCCACAGCCCTGCCAAGCAGCAGTTGGGCCGGCCACCTGTCAATGGGGGCTTTCTTATTAGCTCATTTTCTCTCCAGCCATTTTTGAGTTCTGGTGGCAAAGGGATCAGGAATGATCAAACAAACCCCAATACCTCCTCACACTGGCCCTCATACTCATCTAAGGGGACAAGCACCTCTCACTCTCCTGGGTGAAAAAATGAAAAACATTAAATGAAAGAAAGGAGAGGATAAGAATGGGGGAATAAGGGGGAGGGAATGAGGTGGGATGGGAACAGACACGCCAGGCAGACTTTGAAGGCAAGGTACAAACTCATTTCAATATATTCTGACAGGCTGGTTAAAAAAGCATTTCCTGTTGATTAAGCATCAGGTTTCTAATTGTTTGATCAATCAATTTAAAGGTCAGTTTGCACATGATCAACACATCATGTCTTTTTTGAAATGTGGAAAGAATGTTGAATAAAGTCATGGCTGATTGTTCTAGGAGAAAAGGCCATTCTGATTACTTTTGGATGGTGAACAAGGGTGCCTATAACCCTCAGTGCCACCTACTGAAATTGGCTCCCAGAGACCAGTGGATTCAGACTTTCATTGCTTGATCTGCCAATTAAGCTTGGCTCCCACTTCTATTTACCTGAAATACAGATCTGTCAATCCATAATTTGAGGAGCCCTTCTGAGCCCTGGGAGTGACATTTCTGTTTGCTTGTTTGTAAAATGCTAAATCTCTGGATGACCGATATGCTAAAATGTAATGTGAGATGCACATTTACAGCATAATTCAATGTTTTAATTCCTTGTTTTCTCCTGCATGCATTTTCATGGGAAGAGAGTAGGAGAATACATCTGATCCTCCAGAATGATCTCTGATTATCTCCTTTCCACAGTGAAACACCCCCATGAAAGGTAGAGTCCATTCAGCACTTCAGGCTGAAACCTCAGCCAGGGGCCAGGAAATGTACAAAGCACAGTGCAATGCAATCTCTCCTTTGAAGACTGGCTGTGCTTTACTAATATCTCTGTTTGCTTGTGGGCACGTATGTCTGGACCGACTCCTATATGTGCTCTTCTTTCAGGAGGTTTCAATTCTTTCCCATGGGAGGACACAGAGATGCAACACCTCCTCCTCCAATCTGGAGGCAACAGGATCAGTCCAGCAAAGACAAAACTTCTCCCAGGTAACCATCCTGGCAGAATATTAAAAGGCAAGCCTTGCTCTGGCCAATGACACACGAGCTAAGAGCATGACATCACCAGGACAAACACTCATTGGCTTAAAGACCATGGAAGGCAGGATGCGGTTACCCAGCAACTGCTAAGAGCTAATTAACACTTTAGTGGGGTGGCTGGCATTAAAACAGGCAAGGAGAGAGGGATGGGTTTATTTCTTGCAATGGAGCGATTGCCAGGAGTCTGAACCCCACAAAAACGGTGTGTTGGAGTGGGGGTGGGGAGCATATCTGTCTTTTTCCTGTGGCACTGCTTGTATCTGAAGGAGCCTTCCCTCAAGTCCTGTCCACCTTGGCTTTTAAATACTCAGAAACGATCGTTTTTGTACCCCTTCCCTGCTCTGTCACAAATACAACCTCTCATCCTGCTTATTGCATTCCATCTCTAAAGGGGTAGCATTTTGGGGGGTGGGATGTGTGCGCACGTTTATCTCTCTTGTGTGTTGATAGCCGGGAGACCACAGTACTAAACAGGATTGGAAGGGAATTATTTGACCAGCACAGACTTCCCTAACCTGGCACCCTCCAGATGTTTTGGACCACAACACCCAACTGCAATTGCTGGCTGGGGCTGGTGGGAGTTGTAGTCCTAAACATCTGGAGGGTGCCAGGTTATGGAGCACTGGGCTGGCTGCTTGCCCCCTTTGACTGTTTCCCAGAGCAAGTGATACAGGAGGAGTCATTCAACAAGTGGGCAACTTGAAAGCCACCAAACTCATCCCGGGAGAAATCTAACCCCGATGGGAATGAATGATGCAGACTGGTGGCCACGTGCTCAGTTACGATGCTCCCCTGTGCTCCATACTCACATGAGCTTATGCCTGTATTGGCCTGCATTTGGCGTGTGAACGGACTCCACGTCTGAAACGCCAGTGTTCCCAGGGAGGATCAAGAGCCGTTTGGTGGGGGTGTGCCACGCGCTGCCAGCTGGGTAGCGCCTCTGGGGGCTGATCCAGTAATCCTGCAGGCCGCGGTGGCTGGAGTAGTGAGCAGGGTGCAGGCTGACCAGCCTCTTCCAGGGCATCTCCACTATGACCCGGCGAGGAGAAGGCGCCCGTGGCCTCCTGCAGCAACAAGCATGGGAGAGAGACTCAGAAGAGGCCAAATGCTTTCTTCAGTTAGATGTTGCCGAGAGGCATTAATTAAATTGCTATCACTTACATAGGATACAGGGTTGCATCCGGCTTAGATTTACTCTGAGTACTCTTGTTGAAATTAATGGGCCAGGCTTGGTTCTGTTCATTAATTTCAATGAACAGGACCAAGCCTGGAGACTGTGGCCAAGTGAACTGTGTGCTTCCTTGCTCAGCCTGCTGCCCAGGTGTGGCTCCCTGCAGATGGGCAGTCCTCCTCCTTCTCTCGTTTCTTAAGCTTCTCTCTCTCTCTCTCTCTCTCTCTCTCTCTCTCTCTCTCTCGTTCTCTCTCTTATTTTTAGACATAATTTTTATTAAATTTTCTGTTTTACACATTCATTTAAACAACCTTAAAATGTCAGTGCCTTCCCTTCTTTTCTTTCCATGGTTCATTTTGCATATCATAAATCCCTGCATATTTTACATAAACTAAACCATTCAGTATTCCATTATTACATCTAACAAAACTTGTTTGCACTGTTGAATTTATCTTAATGCTGCCAATGTTTTCAAGTGTACACAATTTCCCCCCATATATTCGATAAACATTTCCCAATCTTCTTTAAATGTATGTTCTTCTTGTTCTCTTATTCTATATGTTAGGTCTTCAAGCTGTGCATATTCTGTCAGTTTAAGATGCCATTCTTTTTAATTGGGACCTCGCTCGTTTTCCATTTTTGGGCTAACAAAACATGGGCCGCAGTGGTGGCATACATAAATAACCTTTTTTGACACCTGGGAATTTCCATCTGAATTATCCCCAACAAAAAGGACTCTAGGGTTTTTTTTTTTGAAAAGTACTTCTAAACCTTTTTTTCCCCAATTCATTCTCTCTTGTTAAACCAGACAGCCCATCAAACATGGAACTCTTTCAAATACAGAGGACTAGATCGTTCACTTGGTTAAAGCATGGTGCTGATGATGTCAACGTTGCAAGTTTGATCCCCATATGAGACGGCTGCATATTCCTGCTCTTGCTGGGGTTGGAGTAGATGATCCTCAGGGTCCCTTCCAACTCCATGATTCTATGACTGTTCTCTGTAAAGTAGGGCACTTGGCCCCCAGACTTCACACACAATGAAACTGTCACAGAGGCATCATGTGCAATGACCACAGCGCTCGAAGGACAGATCTCGTATGTAAGGGAGGACGGGGTGGTGGCAGCAGCAGCAATGGGGAAATCTGGTCCCTCTGACTGTACACCGGTCTCATTGCTATAAATATTTTTGTCAAAAGAATATTGTGCCTGCCCTAGGTGGCAAATACACATCAGTTTAAGGGAGGAAATGAAATATGGTAATGTCATTTAAACAAGAATAGTATACATCTCCCCAGAGTTGGGAAGGCTGTGCCTGGGTGACCTTCAAGGCCTCTCCTGCTCTCCCTTCTTATAGGTCTTTCTCTTTAAACTGGACTTGGTTCATCCTTCAAACAGGGGACACTTTAAAATAGCAGACTGACCTCTGTAAAATGGCAACCTTGCCAACAGTCCCTACTTATACACAGACTGCCTGGCCCACTAAATTACTATAGCCAGCCCAGAACAAGGGGGAAAGGCCAGCGGCAGAGCAAGCCGATCGGGCGGATGGGGTGGCACGTGTGCCCTGCGCCCAGGGGCACGGCCAGCTGGCTGTGGGGGCAGGGCCAGCCGGGGCAGGACACTCTGTGGGGCCTCTGAGGAGTCTGCCTGCCTCCTCCCACTCAGCCACCACACAGCTGAGGGGGAGGTGGCAGGCGTACCATTTGGGGCAGTGTAGAGCCTGCGGGCGCCCAAGCCACCGCGTCACTTCCAGGAGAGACGTGTGGCTGGGGCATGCTGCAGGCCCCGCAGTGAGTGCCGCCCAACATTTTGTCACCCCCCCTCAGTGGTGACACCCTGGGGGGACCGCTCCCACCACACACCCCTTCCTCCTCCCCTGGAAAAGGCTTCTCTCCAAAGATGCCCTGGTACCTCTCATTTTAGAAATTCGCTACAATGCTCCAGATTCTGTAACTTATTTGTTTCTATCCTTGGAAATGTATAAAGACAACTTTGTGGGGGCAGGTGGATAGTAGTGGCTGGAAGACCCCCAAGGTGGTGGCTCAGCAAAAATGCTAGAAATACAGGTTTTAAAACAATGGCAATAATTTAAAATCAAAATAGTGCAGTTGTAAAGATGCACAGTCAGCCACAAGTCCAAGGGAGAATTTGACCAGAGTGGAACTGCTTCCACATACCCTGAAGGCCTATTGGAATAAGATGTTAAACATAAGAACCTAAGAAGAGACATCTGGATCAGACCAATGGCCCATCTAGCCCTGCATCCTGTTCTCACAGTAGCCAACCAGATGCCTGTGGGAATTCACCCCTCCCGTGGTTTCCAGCAACTAGTATTCAGAAGCATTGCTGCCTCCACTTGTGAAGGCAGAGCACAGCCATCACGGCCACTAACCATCCATGTTCGTTACCATCTGTTTTTCTTTCTTTTCTTTTTTTAAAGTTAACAGGGAAGGGTGGGCTTCCCATGCAAGGCTGGGCCAAAACATTTGGCTGCTGTTAACTCTTCTCAAACAGTCTGAATATCCAGCTTCTGACTGAATATGGCTGTTCTACTAAGCAAAGGCACTTCTGCCTTCTCCTGTATTAAGTCTCAGCTTACCCTCCCATGTTTTGCTGTGTCTGCAGCAGGGACCTTGTTTATTTTCTCCACCTAAGACCTCCCTAACCTGGCTCCCCCCAGAAGCTTTGGGCTACATACAACGTCCACTATCCCTAAGCAAAACAGTAGTCCAAAACATGTGGTTGTGGTTGTAGGTATAGCTAAAAATTCAAAATAGGCTTAGGAGAAAGAAAAAGGCTGGTCAGGGACTTTTCCTGGCAATTAGGTCCAAGGCAAAAGACTCCAGCAAGGGTGTTTTGTGGAGTCTGCCCCGCCCTATTCTGATTGGTGGGTGTTTGTCCAGCCACCCTCCCTCTGCCCCAATGATAAGTATAGCAAGGATACATACCGAGCAAGGATATAATTCACCACAAAGAGGGCTGTTTCAGGAAACATCATTTTCCTGCTTATCTGCTGGTAGTTCTTGAGATACAACCAAACCTCCTATCCTTCAATGACTCCCAAGTCCAGGTTGTAACCTATCTTTAAATGCACTGGACAGGACTTCAAGAATAGCCGCTGCCTCTGGGGTCTGGCCTCGTGTTGTTTGAAAGGCTATACTCCCTCAGGTCTCAGGCCCCACAGCCAGGAGAGAGGAATCTACCCAGCTCTGAAGGCAGAGGAGCCCTGAGAAGTGGATGGTGTGTATCACTATCAGGTGCGGATATAGCTAAGTTCACTCTGTTTCTCTGAGCAAGGAGAAGTTCCAGGGGACACAGCCCTCCTCTGCTGTTGCTCCAGACCTCAGCAACCCGCGTTCAGGCACCTAGGGTTGCCTGATCCCCAGGTCTGGCCTGCAGTCTCCTGGTTTGCCTGGCCTGTCCAGGTGGCAGGTTGAGGGCTTGAATGGTGGGTGAGAAATTAAAAATCATATTTTTAAAAAACAATTACTAATAAGGCCCAGGCATGCAGATTGCAAGCTTCAGCCCAGCATGACCTGGCTGCAAATTGTTCCATACAGTGAGTGCATGGTGGGGGGAGGTCTTCTCTCCCCCACTCCTCTCTTCCAGTTAAACTCCTTCTCCAGGTCCTGCCACATGACTTCACCAGGAGATGCCCTAATGACATCACCAGGGACTGCCCCTTGGTGTCAGGTCAGATCTGGGCCCTGAAATCTTTGGATCTGGAATGCTCTTGACCTGGTAACACTATCTCTACCTGAAGATTCCAAAGGGCCACTGTGACTAGTAGCCGCTGATAATTCTCCCCACTAAACTGACACAGCTGATTCATTCATCCCCAGATTCTATTCCTCTGAACCAAGAGGTTTGTGGCTGAAATCTCACAGCTATGAATTCAATGGGTATCCTTAGGCCAGGCCCTGATTTCTCAACCTCAGCCTCCCAGCAGCAATATGATGATGATTAATTCTGTAGTAGTAATAATAAAAATAATAATAATGACTACCTTATAGGGCTGTTGTGAGATAATGTAGGCTAAGTGCTTTGAACACTCAAAATGTGCTATAATGCCAAGTATTATTTTCTGCCCCAAGTGGCTACATGATGAGACTTGAGAAGTATGCTCCAGATTCCTTTTCCAAGGTCACTTCAGGCTTGTGGGATCTACTGTGTTTTTTACTTAGAAGATCCACCAACTGGATCCTTGGTGCAATACATGTAACACACTCAGCATTAAAGAATTCTGAGCCCAGAAATCATCCCAGAACTGAATGGAGTTCAAAGCCCACTCCTGGTTCTGCTTTCTTGATTTCAGCAGCTTTGGCACGCAGTGGAGGGGGGATTTTGTTCCTAGCACTGCTGCCAGAAATTCTTACCAATCTATTTCAAATCGCCCATAGATTTCCCAGAAGATCCATGCTCTGCCTAAAGCATTGCTTGGGTTGCTTGTGCAGCTGAGAAAACTGACCTTGCCGGACCACCCCAACACCTTTCCCACTGCTCAAAGAACCTGCGAGGGGGTGTCTCCTGGTCCCTCCTTCCCTGCTGTCCCCTCCTTCCACAGCCAGGTGCCTGTCTCTCCCTACTTTCAGATGCATGCAGGCTGGCTCCTAGCTACCCCAGGTTGGGCACAGGTGCAGGATTAGCAGTAATTGGTTGCACTTTGAGGTCCATAACCTCCCTCTGATTACCTGCCGCAAACTTGCACCTGCCATTCAGCCACTAATCCACAGGATTAGAGGGACCCCAGCAGATGGCTGGCAGCCAAAGATGCCCCATTTACTTCTCCAGCAGTGCCCTCTCCATGGGAAGATGACGACGCCCAGTCTTTATTGAGCATTTATTCTGATTCGTTTGCAGGATGACAATGAGCATCCATCTTGCAGTCACCCTGAATTGTTTGGATTCAGGTGGGGCTGATGGGAGTCAAGCAAATGACTGGAGGGACATGGGTTGTCCCCATCCCTGCTGTAGGTCCAGGGAGATGAGGGGGTGGGGTGGAGAGAGAGTCCCTTGCACAACTACTGTTCTAGAAATGGAGAATAAAAGGCAACGGCCATATCTCTCTGGAGTCACCATCTCAAATTGGCTTAAAATATTTCGGCGACTTGCTGAAATCTTAATATAGAACGTGGAGAGGGTTGGGCTAAGAATAACGATACATCTGCAAATGAAAGTGTGCCACTGCTGTTCACATTATTATTGGACAGATAGATAAGTATAAACATGAAGCTATGTTTACTGCACTCCTGAGAAAATATGTTGACTAGCAGGCTAAAATGCAGTAGATGGCCTCTTTTTCTGATAAGTTACTGTATAAAAAGAAGCGAGGGGAGTCTTGGGTGGTGGCTCCTCCAGACAACCTGCTTATTGAGTGCTTGTCTGGATCTGCATTGCCCAAAGTTTAAATGCCCAGTCTCTATTGAGCATCCATTCTGATTTGTTTCTGGGGCAGTTACCTATATGACAATGAGTATTCATCTTGATTTGCCTGTGGGGAATTTACACTTCTCCCCAATCAATGGATGTCGCACAATGGGTCATTACATCTGGCTGTTAACAGAAGGTCGGTGGTTCGAGGCCCCCAAAGGACTGCTGTGAGCAGGTTTCCTACATTGTAGGTGGTTGGATGAGATGACCCTTGGGGTCCTTTCCAACTCTACAATTCTATGATTTGTTCATCCCACGTGTTTCCCCATCACTTTCCAAACTGCAAAAAGTCTTTTGTGTGTATGTATTTGCCAGGTCGACAGGATGTTTTAACTCATCCTAATTGCACAAACCTAAATGTTCCAGTATGGACAAAATATTGAGTCTGGTGGCACTCTGGGCCTATGCTTGGCCCTGTATCTCATAATGAGCACTCAACACCTAATTATTTGCCCTCTGCTGGGGTCCCCGCCATCCCAATGCTCTGCAACCACCACCCCAACCTTCCCCAACTTGGTGCCCTGCAGATGTTTGTGACAACAACCCAGCAATGCTGGATGGGGCTGATGGGAGTTGTAGTCTGAAGCATCTGGAGGGCACCAGGTTGTGGAAGGTTACACTTGAACTCCTTGGCTCCTTGGCTGCCCTTTCCAGCTCCTCGCACTGGGACTCCTTTCATCTTCCCCAACACTTGCTCAGCTTTCCCTTTGGCCCCTGCCTGGATTGGTGCACTGCTAAGAAAGTGGAAGACTCCTCCTTTCCTCGGCAGCAGCTGCCCTGAACCAAAAGTGCAGTTCCAGGCCGCTATGCAGGGAGCCTGACGCTGCAGATCCTTCTTCCTTTGGCATTTACACAATTTGGGACCCTCTGAAGTTATCTGGTAATGAAAATGAAACTGGGGGGGGGGGAATTCCCCAAAGGGAGCCCCCCCCAAGCCCCCATCCGGAGGGAACCGCAAAAGCTGGAACTGGGGCAGTTTTCAGTAAAACAGCTGAGCAACTGAAGGGAAAACCCAGTAAAAGGAAACTGGAGCCCAAGCAGAAGAGGAAGGGGAAAACCCCTTTTTTGGAAATCCAGCGATCAAGTTGCATTTCCTCTTCTGGGTTGCAGGGAATCCTCTTGCGCAGCACAGCCTCCAAGGGCACGCCCACCTTGGCCAGGCTTTGTTCATGCCAGCCAGGTCTCAATCCCATCGTCCATTTTTCCGGAATAACAGTTATGCTTTCTACATCCATGCTAGGCCTCAGCCCTGGCCTTGGCAAGGGATGTTGCGTCTGAGTTCTGGGCATGGCTTGGCCGCCGCTGAAACAGCCTTGAAGTCTGTGATTAAGGACCCTGATATCCTAGTTTTCACACATATAGGAATCTTCTTTTGTGAGGGAACATTTCCTTAGATGATCCTGTAACTTGCAGAACTGCCTGTCACACTGACTCCGTTAGTCCAGGTATCAAACTCTCGCTTGCAGTTTGAAGTGGAGCAGTCTAGGGCTTTGCCACATTTGAGGATTGTTTTGCTCTTAATCCACTTTTTTACAATTCGCAAAAAGGATACTGTACAGTTTGCGCAGTTGTCAGGTTTTGTACAAATCTGAGGGATCAAATACACACACGCGCGCACACACACACACAAGCTCTTGGCATGCCTTGACTAGCACACTTGGAAAAGAAGTGAAAGCAATGATAAATTCTCAGCATACTCTTGTCTGATTGTGTCCCAATATATCTGGTGTAGATATTTTTAATCTGGTTTGCTTGTGTCGTTTTCTGATTTCGTGCGATTTGGAGGGAATTGACCCACCCACCCCAAAATTGAAACAAATTGTCTGTGACCCTGAGTGGTGTGGTTTGGAGCCCAATTTCCCTCAATTTAGTGGATTATTTCCATATCCCCAAATTCACAGAGGGAAAGAATAAAGACTGGTGTTGTTTGAAGATAACGTCATCCATACCTGCTTCAAAAATTCAGGTTGGCCTCACACTGTCCTTAATTGAGCATTTTGTGTACGGACTGTTTTGAAAATTCAGTTTTTCCATGGCTGTCTCCCCTTTATTTATCAGGAATATCTCTGCCTCTAACTCCACCTCTAACCCCGTCTCCATGGAAACCGCTCCTACCTGATAAACTGAGCATGTGCAATGGAACCATTGCACAGATGAAGTTATGTTAAAAATTTGTACTTTTCTGTTTAAAATGAGGATTTATTTATATAAATCATATACATTTTAACAAGATAACACTCCAGTGGAAGTGGCAGGGGTTTACTATTTTTTTGTGAGTGTTTCTTAACAAAAAAGGACAAGTGCAAAGATGGAAATGTGCCGTGTCCACACTACAATAAGGCGGACATGGCGGAGAAAAACCAGTGACTAGGGGCTAGCAGAAGGCAAACTGGAAGGAGTTGGAATGAAAATGCCTGCACTGGGAAAACCAATGCAAGGGTGATGTGTTTTACAATGTGGACTACATCCATGGGTCGGAACAGGCCACGGTTGGAAAAAGGTTGGGAAACACCGGTTTAAACAGAAGTTGGGTGGCCACCTGTCATGCATGATCTAGTTGAGATTCCTACATTGCAGGAGGTTGAACTAGATGACCTTTGCGGTCCCTGCTAACTCTATGAT